ATTCAAAATTTTAAAACAGAATAGACTTCAGAATTTGGAAAATTTGAAAGAATTTGATGGGACGAGCTTTCTACATCACTTCTCACTTCTGACACGAAATGCATAATTAAGCGGTATTACTCCTGTTCATTGTCGAACTGAAAATTTGCCTATCATTAAGTCCAAAAATCAATCTTCATAATGCTGTAAAGCTCGAATTCAGACGGAATTATATAATGATTCCATCTGAAATATAGATTAAGTTTTTGCTAAATATTGAAATCAAAGGCGTCTGAGCGGGGGTGGGCTTGCGTAAAATGATAAGACATAAATTGGGGCTTTATGCCCATAACGTGTTTTATTGGTTTTGTCCCATACTTTTATTTTGTATCGTACTGTCAATTTTCGTGCAGTGGGTATAGCGTATGCTCTAGGAGCTGAGCCTTACGTCGCGTGTTTGAATACACTGCGGGACGTGATATCCATCTTTCGAAAGAGAAAGTATTAAATCGAGGTCCCTTGTCGCAGTAAGCGTAAGCAAGAAAAAGATCCCTCATGGCTCAATGGTTCTAAGTATGAATACTTAAAAGTTTGCAGCGCTCCCTGGCAAGTGGTGGTGTCTCCATTTGAGTAAATCATTTCTCGAGAAAGACGTTTAACGTCAACAAATATAGCAACAAAATAATCAACTGGCTTCCGGCGCTTATGGACATGAGGGTGGATTTCAAAAATCATAGAAAGGAAGAGCGGTAGGCCAGTTGTAGGTCTTTATATTACGTCGCTGTCATGATTTGAACAATTTAGAACCTTACACTACTTCAGAAAGCAGCTTTCACAAAAATTTCTAAATTTCAGCTCTTGTGATCTAGTGGTTCTATAAGATTTTTAAAAAACTTTCCCCTCTATATATCAATGTAAAATTTAAATCCGCTATTGTGGTTTCACCCTAACACGGGGGCCACGATATTGATTATTTTGAATTAACACAACCTCAGAAAGCTTCGAAATTACTTACATCTGATTCAGTTGTGTTGTGAAGATGTTTTCTAAAACTTCAATTTCTAATCGTTGTCCAACCCTACCCCAGAAATGGAACAATTTAGAATATACATTATTCTAGCCCAGTGATGCTTGAGAAGAGTTTAATTTAGAATAAATTGAATTTTTCTACAAATTATTCAAATGATCAATATGAAAATTTGCAACGAAAACATAACTTACAGATCAAAAATTGAACAATGCGAAGGGAAAATCAGAATACAAATAAAAATACAATAGTAAATGGAAACTTATTCAATAATAACCACTGGTTTTCTAATATCAAAATTTTATTTTCATTTTGACGTGGAATTTCGTATGCCACAAAAATATTTACAGAGCAAACGAGTCTTAACAACCAACACGAAGAGAGAAGATTGCACATCAAGGGCATGTTACGCCGAAATGACTCCCGTTATATGCCTGAACGCGTTTTTTCCCTATACTAACTGAGGGAAAGTCAATACTGGTTTTCACTTTATTAATTTTCATGATGCCGTAGAGTTATGTGTTGTTCGTTTTCCTTGGAAAAGCCAACATTTCCTATTCTGGAATTGCATATCAATATAACTTCTGAACTATTGACTGCTAGTGCCAGACGAGTCAAATTTACTCATTTAAGATGAAAAAGCGAAAGAAAAGTATTGTTTTATTAATTGTTAAAAGAAATGAAGATATTTGTTTATATGAAGGACAGCGTACTTTCAAGGCATTATTCTAGTGATAGTTGACATTTTTTGGCTATCTTTTAATTAATCACATTAAGTACAGCTAGGTACTTTCTTGGCACTACATGTATCCGTTATTTATTCATATAAAGACTACAGTACATGTTTTGGCACTATCTGCTAATTATGCATATAAAGGAAAGCGCACATGTACATTTTTACATTGTCTGAGAATTATTGCTGTTAAATGAGAATGACTTGTTTGTACACAACCAAAAATTAAAAGTCCTGGATTAAAGAGTTCGATCTATTTAAACTCAATCTGAGTTTGAGGAACGAATTTAACAGTGTTAATTCGGATCAGAAAGAATTGTTCCTTTTTCATTTTTCACTCAACATCCAAAGGAAAAAAAAAAACACTTTTTATAAGAACGTATTGCAATTAGCAATCTTCATCTTTTTCCGTGACCTCAGAAAATTATCATTTCACTCGCCTCACAGGGAGCAGTGAAAATTACATTCTAATCTAAATCTAAATTACCGTTCGTTTTGCGATATCGTCTTTTCTGTCGATACCAAATCAATTTGTACTTATTCCGGCGAGGCATGTGGAGGACTCTTAAATACAAACGCAGTCCATGATAACTAAAATTCAATAACCGTTCCAAACCAATACCAAGATACGGTATTGATAAGGCGGGAAAAGTGAAATCTTTGCTGAAACATGTGATAGATGAAACCAAAAAAAATCTAATTACGATGGCCACGTTTATTTTCCTGTCAAAAGGTATACGTTAGGGTTCAAAACATTAAGCTCAAATCACTTGCCATTAAAAAAATTACTCTCTTCCTCCAATTTGAATTATGATATATCCAGGCATCTTTAATGTGGTAGTTTATTAAATCTGTATTTGATATATTGCGCGGAAAAAAATTATAAAGTTTATGACAAAATTTGGGGGGAAATGGGTTTCTCGGTACTTAAGTATTGACACAGTAAAACTTCCTTAAAATACTTTGATATGCTTTTCATGAAAGCTTGTAAATGAAACCTAGGTTTGCAATCTAAAATCTTAGTATAAAAAGGAGCATAGATAATTTTGCGTAATCGTGTGTTTGAATCCAGAATGGTATGACATGTTACATTCAGACTATTCATGCAGCAAGAAAAGAAGGACAGAGGAATGAATAGTTATTTTTGTTTTATGCTTTAAAAGTTTTTGCATCATGTGAATTTAAAAGTCATGGACTCCAAGTAATTAGCTGATCATTAAATACAACATTATATAACTCTTTCATGTTTAATTTTCTAGAACGTTGTTTATACTTTTCTAAAACGTAGTTTATACTTATCTTTTTAACATGTGAATGATTCCTTTTATATTCTAATATTGCCTTCCTGCTTATTTACTTTCTTTTCTTTGAAGTTTTAAACACGGCAAGTCAGAGTTCAGGAAATCAATCTTAATTAACTACTTCAGAAATCTGTACAATAATATCCTTATTTTATTCCCTTCAGCAATCGCCTTGAATTCTATTTAATATGTGTAAAAAGCTAATTCATTAATTCATTCGTTTGTGAATTGTACCCTTGATGCACGACATAATTGAGTGATATCAGTCCTATGCCTGTTATAGAGACTGGCCCGCAATTTTTCCGGACAAGATGGAAGTCGGTACATAGCGAAGTAGACCATCTCTTATCAAATGGTTAAATGTGCAAGTGGGAGGGAAAAGGGCAGCATGTGTCAGGTCTGATGGTCATTTCTGTATTATTACTAGAAATCTAAATGTGTTAAAAGCACAGAAATCAATCCCTCTAGGACTCCGTCCATACAAATCGCAATAAACAGTCGCAGCAAATCCCGGAGGTTATTTAAACTTTTCACTAAAAGAAAAGATATTTTGAGGCATTGAAGAGCATTGTAACAATACCAAACATTTGAAGCAATTTGTGATATTTTTTTTAGCACTAGATGCTTTGACACCAGCTTATTGATATGACAAACATATGACAGTGAAGTATAGCTACCAGGTATTTATTGGATAAATATTCTCCATGCAAGGAGCTTTATATCTCTCCATTGTAACTGTAATGTTCATTAATCAATGCACTCATAATTAAGGTTATATTTGTGTGTTATGTGTAAAATGTTTCATACCTCATCGATTTCTAGTCACCTATCTACAGTATTACATATGCTGTACATTTTAATATGAGCCAAGGGCCTTTGCAATAAAAAGATCTTTTAAGTTTTTTTTTTGTTTATTTGGTTTCTTTCCTTTTACATTTTTATGTATTGATCAATGTGATTTATTTTAAACTTTACTGGACAGTTATGATTTCATACTCGTGTATAAGCAAAAATGAAAGGAAGACTGTTCAATTTGCAAAATTAACTTCAATGCAATCATAGTCCTTTAATTGATAATTATTTAATCATTATAACATACCTTTCTTGGATGAAGTCGAGAAAAAAAATAATCCACTACAATGAAAACATTCCTATTTATCATCATGTAAGGGGGAGGGAGTTACATGTAGCGAACATTTTTAAAATTGCATTTATATAAGGATATCCCTTTCCCTTTAGTATAACAATTCCAAGCACAACGAGGAAAGAAGGAAAAGCGTGCAGTAAATATCATTCCCTGTTATAGCTTATGCGTGAAATTGAAAAAAAAATGTCTGTTTTAAACCTTGAAGGCAAAATAATTTGCATCAAAGTAGAAGGAACCTGACGTGCTAGTCACACAGTACTGCCAATAGGTACCCCAGAGCTATTCAAATCAAGAGTTGTATAATCAGACTGAGCCTGTGAGTGATTTGTACATTGTACGTTAACGTCTTTTAACACAAGGTAAAACATTATAGTTTAAGTTTATTACCAGGTAAAGACATAAATGACTAAGAAACCAGGAAAACTCCAGTCTACATCGGGAACATTCTGAAATACTTTTTACAAAATCAGAAAGAGCAGGATATCTCATTAAACATTGGAAGCAGTAATCGACCCAATAGAACAGTATTTTAAATAAATAGCTTTTTCTCGGTAGAAATGTTTTATGGAGGATATGTTACTGCACAAAGCACCCTTTTAAATTCTCCTCTTTTTTATTTCCGGAATGGTGAAGGCATTGAAATTCCATATTGGAAATCAGTCAGAATGTTAAATGGCCTCCATTCGCACGTTGCTTTAGACGTGAAAAATATTATTTTCTTTTTTAGTTAGCACATATCAGTACAATTTTCACTTAATTATAAAAATTGAAGGACATTTAGCTTCGTATATTAAAGCAGAAAATTTAACTTACCTGAGCCGTTAAGATGAAATCTTGTTCTGCACATCAACTCCCGTTCGCTGTAATTTAATAAGATAACATCTTAATACAGGCTTCAAACTTTATGTACATATAATAAAAAAAAAGATATGAGAACCTATTGGTCGTGATTCATAATTAGCATAGAGACCGACTGAAGCTCTCACACTATCAGTAAAAAAATACATCAGATTTCTCCCTTTGATTTTTTTTAACATGTATGTCTTCACACATGTACAGACTGTATATAACGTACACGTTACAAGTATACCAGACACTAAATCTGTCACACTACATCAATTTATCTTTTAAGAGAAAATTTGAAAATTCTTGTATTCCAAATAATGCGTTGTGAGACAAGACATATCGATAAGCGCTCAACTTTTCAGAGAAGGCAAAAAAAATCCTTTATTCTAAGTTATGCTCCAGTAAAACAACTATTATCATTCAATCTGAGTTATGTTCCATCGAGTCAAGAGGTTGTAATACCATATAAGGCCATTCCAAGTTTTTTCTATGTTTAGCGTCCGCGTGTGCCTTGGTTTTTGACACCCCATATTATTAGTTACACAGTCAGTTAGTGACCTAATACGGATTCATACAGGGTGTGAAATGGAAATCCGTATTGGGCGAGGCGAAGCCGAGTCCCAATACGGATTTCCATTTCACACCCTGTATGAATCCGTATTAGGTCACTAACTGACTGTGTTACGAATTTATCCCGCTGAAGACCTTTTTCAATATAAAAAAAAATATCTGTGCATATTATGAAAATATTAAGTTTTAATCCAATAACAATCAACATAAAATATCGTTACGGTAACAAGGAATTTAACTAAACTACCTACGTAAACCGTTTCTTAGCCACTATTTTTATTTACAATAACAACGCTTCGAACAGAATCGCGTGCCCGATTTTCATATTACGCCTTGACGGAGACGTATTTCAGGGCGTCACGTGATTCGCTTTTATCCAATCAGTAATCGACAAATTTGTCTGAAGCGGGATAAAAGAAAAAACACAACATCAGGAGTCCTGAAATTGATTAATTAAATCGAAATTTTAAAATTTTGTCAATTTCTTCAAATAATTCTATACAGTAAGTTAAATTGGGTGTATTTAAAGCATTTAATCCCTTGTTTTTGCTTAAGAATAGATATTTCTTCTATTAAAGCAGTTTAGTTAGATCAAATCATTTGAAGGGCGTCATTTTTAGCCGGGCTTATTGCTCAAAGAGCAATTGCCGGCTTATGTCATCCTGTTCAAGACAGGATGTCAACCCCATAGTCGCCGTTTTAAAGTTACGTGTAAAAATATAGTTCTTACTCTCAACCGCTTCTGAGATAATTAAAACGCTAAATAAAGCAACATAAATAAAACGAAGTTTTATCTAAATAAATAAACATTAGTAATAATGACTTTGAAAACTTCAGTCTTAAGTCAAAAAACATAGTTTATTGGCGTAAGGATTTCTGATAATCAGTGTTATCGTAGTTCTCTACACTAACGAGGAAAAACAGGAGAGAGAACCAGACTGGCCTGTTTGTTTACATTTAGCCGTAATACCAGGTTAATTTTGATTCTGACAAAATCGGACCGTGGTATTTGGATCGAAAACTCACTGTCAGTGTCTTATATAATTTATACTGCTAGTTTTAAAATAGTTTTTTCATAAGAATTTTTAATCTGATATTCTTGTTATTTATCCGTTAATACAATATAAACGTATGATTCATGTAAGTACTTCTGAGTACTTTGATTATGACTTTTAAGCCTGTGTTTTATGTTTTGGCTTGTGTGTTTTTTGCGAATAGGTAGGTAGGTTTTTGAAAGATGGGTGGACGCTAAACAGAGAAAAAACTTGGAATGGCCTAATTATTTAAATGTTTACAATTTAAAAACAAACGGTCATAATGTACCGTGAAGACGATTGAAAATTAAAATGCGACTTCAGGACGCACACGGATATATAGATTCTTCTAGAGGTTCTCAATAACTGCTATTAAAGACAAAGATTGAAACATTGATTTAAAATGGAAAAACAATTTCTTATACGTTATAGAGGGTCTCTGTTGGTTTGAACACTAAAATATATTAATATTAAATTCGCTTTGAACATTTCTACTTTTTACATTGACAGTCAGGCAGATCATGATCAGATAAGATATAAAGAAGAAAGACATACAAAATATTGACAAAGTAAATCGGACATTTCTGATTGAACATTGTTTTATCGAAATTAAAAGAGCGTTATTTAGAACTTTTTACTTGTTTACAACATTATCAAGGGAATATTACTAAATTTGATATTATTTTCCAACATTTTATGTACTCTGATAATACAACTTCATAAAAAAAAATTGTGATTGGTTATCCAGAAAATCAGCTTAATTTCATATTTAGCATCAATGGTCTGGTCTCCAAAGATTACAAAAAAGTTGACAATTGGGAAATCAAGGATCCAACAAACTGCTGGAATCCCAGTGGGCTTAAATGTTGCTCCATCATAAGCCGACATGTTTTTACATTTTTATTGTTTCAAATTGTTTGGTATATGAATTTTGAAATTGATTGCAGATGTTCCATCTCCCTGGTATAGTGCTCTAGGTGGATGCGACCTCTCTAAAGATGGGGAGTGCTTACTCCTCCCACGCACCTGATCTTACCTTTTGAATGTACTGATGATTTTATGCCCTTTTTATCAATTTTAATTGTTAGTTGTTAGATTAATGTTCGAATTTTTCTACATTTCATTTCTTGTTAATATCATATTAACACATATTCCTGGTTATATCATATCAAAACATACATTTGTGCGCCTATGTAATGCGATCGAAAAAGAATTTTTAAAATTTAATAAAAAAGCCAGTGCAGCCAATCTACTATTACTTGTCTGTTTTATTTACTATGATTCTTTCTAAAGAAATGTTCGTCAAGTCGGAAATGCATTAAAGGATGTTATTCTATAGACAAAATGACTTTGCCGTTTATTATACGTGCACCGTGCTGGTTTACATGATTATGTGATTATCAAGACACTAAATGTATCTGACTTGATAAGGTTTAAGTGACACTTTACCATGCATCTGACTTGATAAGGTTTAAGTGACACTTTACCACTCTTAAAAGATAGATGCTAGTGTCATCCTTTAAAAAGCGTTTCGTTTTCCTTAAGCTGTGAATGCGCAGCCGTATCACAAATATTAACTGAAGACACCAAGTTACCTCGTAAGACTTACCTCTTACAATGTATCATACAACCTTAGAATATGTCATGACATTAACACCAACCCCCCCCCCCTTTCAGCAATAATTTTGTCGATGTATTTAATACTATAGAAAACTAAGCTACTATATGCTTGTGTCTCCTAAATAAAAATGTCTGATGACCTTTCTTTGTCTGTTCAGAAATTTTTGGTAGTTGATAGTGCCCCCCATTCAAAATGTTTGCCCCTCCCCCCATTTGAAATTGCTTCGTATAGTTACGCCTCTATATGAATGAAAAAATTCTCGAATGGACGTAAAACAACATACAATCAATCAATCATATCTACCTCATAAACATTGTATCTGTAGAACATTTTCAAGAACAAAACCTTGTATATGAGTGTCTAAATCATAATTTTAAAAATGTTTTATTATTGCATCTCTACGAATGGGATTTATAATTTCGAAAGCGTTGTTAGCAGAGGTTTAGGTATTATTTGAGGAAAATTTTAGCAACAATCAAATTTTCGTCCAAGTAGCTCTATAAAATAGGGATCAGTTAAATATTGGTGCAAAAAATTTTTTTAAAAAATATTGTAAAAAGCCATGTACTTTAAAAATTATCTCCATGATTTCCATGTATTATTTGATATATTATTTCTAATTTCTAATCTTCCTCAACAATACACTTAGGTCGATATTGATCATAAGCGACAATAAACGGCGGTGATAATAACGAGATACTACAGTAACAAGTACATGTATATAGTAGGTAACTATATTGATAGAAAACATCAATTTCAAGAAGTTTAAAAGTCTTATCGGTCACCTTCGTATAAAACAACATTTTAGAGGATCCTTACAGTATAGCATTAACTGAAGAATAAGCTTTTATGCCTAGAAAAGAAATAGGTTGCATGATCATGATCAATGAGTATAGTTTAGTACATCTATTCCGTAAGAACCCATAGATAAAGTTCTAAAATCTCCATTTATCATATCACCAAGGACACTTTAAATAAATTGTTTGTGTCTTTACTATTTTTAACCCCATATCATACGAAAATGTAACTTCTCACACACGCTTCTCTTGGTCTAATAGGTTATTCTGTCAATTTCTCACACAGGCTACTCTTGGTCTAATAGACCATTTTGTCTTTTTTTAATATATCTATTTAGTACAAGGCAACTAAGACTTATTGTATTACAACTAAGATTTAATGTTTTATAGAATAAGATTTTCTAATAATTGTTTTACTCTATTATAATCTAATAGAGCCTTGCCCATGAGAGAACATTTGAGAAAACATTTGTCCAGGTGTTACCAAATCTAGTAAAATGCCCTGAATTATCAATAAAACTTACTCTGTGTGCCTCAGATATAGCAGAGATTCATTGATTGTATTTTGTTTAACGACCCATTCGAGAATTTTTCACTTATATAGACACCCCTACAAATGTTATTGTGATTTAAATTCAAGACACGTGGTTTAGGTTTACCTATTCAAAGGTTATAGGGAAGAACCAGTTTTATAAATAAAATTGGCAGTAAACAGGAAATCGCTATAGTCTGTTTCTTCTGAAAACATGCCCTGTGAAAAATGTGTTTCCACACCTTTCTGAAAGACTTTCATGATTTTCAACAGAAATGGGTGGCTTAAAGGGGGGGGGGGGTTTAAATATAAATTAATACATCTTATCATAGTTTACTGCAAAAAATTACAGCTCACTAGCGACCGATACGCTGGTAAAAAATGTGTAATATCATCTACACTGACAAACCTTTGTTTGCCTTACATGGCTATTTCTATTAATGCGCACAGAGGATCTTAC